ATTTATCAAAGGTGATCAAATGAGCTTCGAACTCAGTACGGAAGATCTGGAGGCCTCCAAGCTATTTCCAGACTACAAATATACTTCAGTTGATAGCCTTCCTGGAGATGTTACTGGTTCAACCCCCACAGCCTAGATTGGCAGCATTTACATAAGCTCAGGGAACACAACATATATAAATATATATATATATATATTACATATGAAACGTAAAATAAATACGTGTAGTTTGTTAATAAAATTTAAATTTTATTTTTGATAATTAAAATTAAATCTTTAATAATCTTGGATGTCAAAAATAAATAAACACTAACTTAATCTAAAGTGTTGCTCGTCATTTATATATATATATATATATATATATAAAGTTTATTGAATTTGAATTATACCATATGTAAGAGATAAATTTTATCTCATAATCTAACCCTTTTTTTAAGAATCAAAGTTGATAACATTAGGGGAAATTTGTCAAATTTTAGACATTAATTGGATTGTTTCTTTAGGAACACAAAAAGCCAACTATTGCATTATTGTATGAAAATTTCCTACTAATAGTATTTTTTAAAAAATAAAAAAGAAAAAAGAAAGATGAAACGAAAGAAAAAAAAATCATAAATTAAGTTTTATTTGATTTTTTTTAATACTCACTATCACCACAATAAAATATAATATTTTCTCAATGTCTTTCTAAAAGATAAAATCTTTTTTTTTTCAACAGTCCATTTTAATATAATGTTTAAATTATTAAAAAAAAAAAACCCAAATGCTAGCTTTTGCATTGAAATCTAGCTATTGTCATTTTTCATTTGTTAATTAATTATTTAAATTAAAGTATGATAAATACAGTAATCTTTTTTATAAAAATTTAAAGTACAATTAAGATGTAATCTAACAAAGAAGCATGAATATAATATTGGTTTAATGCTTAAATCTGCATGTTTATATCAAGTTTATTCGTTTATTACTTTATAATTACTTACTTTTTTTTTCCTTTTTTCACAAGTCAACAAGTACTTGACCACTCTTAAAAAGATGACGTGGCATACTGAATGCCACTCACCAAAAGCCTCTAATAGCCAAAAAAATGGGTAAAGAGCTTAATATTTTAAATGGGCTCCTACTTAAATGCAGAAATATTGGGACTCTTTATTTTTCGAGTACTATTTTTTGCCATTCGGCCCTCCTTCTTTTAAGAAAAAAAACAAGCCTTTTTCTTTTAGGTTAAAATATTAAAAAAAAACATATATGTTTTTTCAAATTTATCAATTTTGTCTATCTTTCTTTTGAACCTAAGCCTTTAAAATATTATTTTTTACTTAAACTTTTTATTTTTCATGAAAATCCATTAAAAATAAATGTTTAATTAAATAAAAATAGTAATTTTAGATTTTAATTTAAACAAAAACAACATTTAAATGATTAAATTAAATAAAAACAATCATTTAAGAGTGTAATTTGGCATAATAAAAAAAATAAAAGTTTATCTAAAGATTTTTAAAAAGTATTAGATTTTTTTAATATTTTAACCTTTCTTTTATGAAAAATGAGAGAAGAGTTTTACACTAGGACAAAAAAGATGAACAGAGAAAAATTAATAATTTAATAAATGAATTGTAAAATAGCACATATTAATATGAATTTTAATTGTTAAATTAAAAGAAAAAAAAAAAAACTTCATTCATCATATCAAATATAGCCTGTAAATTAGTGTCTGGCTTTGAGGTTAAAATTAAGAAGATAAGTTAGCAATTATAAAATTGTAGTAACCAATGAAGATTTTTTTTTTTTTAAGTTTTGCACATCCATTATTTTTATAATTATAAATAGATATATAGCTAAGATTGTAGATTATAATTAAAAATATAGATTCTTTATTTTATTTGCCTAAAACAACAATATTGCGAGGGTGAAATTAACGTTTATCCAAATTAGAGGGTAAAGTTGAAGCAACAAGAAAAACTTTAAGTTCCCTAAGTTAGAAGCAAGATAGAGATAAGGTTTTCTAATATATATGGCCATTAAAATCATCATTGTAAATTTCTAATACATTCCAAATGGGACCACCACTTTTCATTGCTGATTTAAGACTCAAAAGTTATGCATTAAGACAGCTCCACTTGTTTTATGCTTTTTTTTTTTAAATTTTACCTTTGTTTTTTTGGAGATCCTTCCTAATTAATAATTAATATAATGGACTAATCTATTTAAAATTTTATAAAACGATATTATTCATATTCATAATTTTTTAATTTTAAAAATTTTCTTATTCAATACTAATAGATGTTATTGACATGATATTTTCTAATTAAATATGATTTTTCATATGATTTTTTTAAATTTAGAACTCAATATTTTATCAATTGATTCTATGACTGTTAATAATTAATTTTATCTAATAACAAAAGTTTTTTGAGAATTTGACAAAATAAGTGTTTACATTATTATTTTATATTATAATGGACTAATCTACTTAAAATTTTATAAAATAATGTTACTCATATTCATAGTTTTTTAATAAAAAGTTTATAAATATTAAAATTTAAACTTCAAATTAACTATTGATTAGTAAAAGTTTTCTTATTTAATACTAATAAATGTGATATACATGATTTTTTAATTAATAAAATTTTCACATAATTTTATTAAATTAAAAATTAATCACTCTATTAATAAATTATGTGATTATATAACTATGAATTTCCCCGTAATAACAAAAGCGTTTTTGTGAACTCGACAATAAGTGTGGAAGAAAAAAAGAGTTTTTGGGAGCCTTGAAGCGTTAAAATATTATTATTTTTATATGACTAGAGCAATTTAGTTATGATTAGACCGCCACCTATGATTATACCACTAGTTTGGTGAATTGACTAGTCAACTCCCCCTACGGATTATACAAGCTTTCACGTTCCAATTTTACAACATCCACTAGAAACAAAAATTACTCTCGTCTTCGCGTGTTTGTGGGTGTGTATATATATATATATAAGGTAGCGACTTGTGCGTTGCTTAAATTTATCATTTTATTATTTAATATATATAATAATAATAATAATAATATTTTAAAAGATATAATAAATATGAATATTTTTAAATATATTTTAAATATCTTATAAATTTAAAAAAATTATAATTTATAGAAATAAAAAATATAATCATTTTCGCAATAAATAAAGATAAATGAATATTGACTAAATTATAAATGAATTCACAATCTCAAATAAAATCTCTCACTCATTTTATTTTTAAATAAATAAATTAAATAAATAAAAGTCGCTAATCAATTGTTGACTTGGTTATGATTTAGTTCACATTTTTTATTAAAATCTTTATTATTAAACCAAAATTATAAAGCAACGATAATATAATAAAAATATAATTTTTATTATTGGAAAAAGAAAAAAAATTACCTATATTATAAGAAAGATTACAAACAACTTTAATAAAAAATGAGTGATTAGACAATCATTAAACAGAATTTAAATTTGGCAATTACATTTAAGATAGTAGATTTTTTTTAAAGTGGATTCTTCGAAACAAATACTAGAAAATAAAAAAAATTAGAAAAAAGAAATAAAAAGTTATGACCTAGATTTTGACAATCAATATCCATTTAAAGATTATTTATATGGATGAATGTACTCATTAAATCTTTTAATATAAAGAATAAAAAATATTTTTAATTAAGTGAAAAATATTTATACTTGCAATTAAAGGTTAGATGAATGAATTTTTTTTGGATAATGAAAATTGAAAATTATAAATAAATAATAATGAGCAAGGGAGATAATCGGTTACTTGCATAAATAATTTGAATAATAATAATTCATCTCATCCTATGCTATAAGGTTTCTTTTCAAGATTCATTGTTTTTTTGAATAAGGAAGTATAATAATTTTTTTTTGAAATAAATGAAGAAGGAATATAAATACCAAAGAGACAATAAGTTAAAAATGGAAGATGAAGTATTATTGACTTTAAACCCTAAGAGATAAAAGACATAAAAGAAGGATAATTAAGCTAGAATGACTTGATAATTTAAAATGAATATACGACAACTTAGTAATCTTACATGGTAAATGAATGTTATATATATAACAATTCATACGTCACAATTCTAAATAATAGGAGATGAAATATTTATACGTCAGATATATATATATTATATAATAATTAAAAAAATTTAAGATTACAATTAAATTTATTACTTTATAAGAAGTTAACATTGAATTTATTATTGTGTTTTAATTTCATTAAATTTTGTAACTATATTTTTACCTTGTTGAAATAAATTATATATACATTAATAGAACCTTTTGCAAAAATTTCAGTTAGGTTGTTTAAAAAAAAAAATAAAGGAAATACAAATTATAGTGATAATTTTTTTTTATACATAAGGAGGCTAAAACCTAAGAAAAATTGGGAAAGGGAATATTAGTATAATATTTTATAAAATATTTCAAATAAAATTAAAATTACAATGATAAAATTTAATATTAATCATAATATAGTCGCGAATTCCACCTAAATGTCAAACTTTACTTTTTAAATACAAGTTATAATTCCATTAATTAAGTAACTAAACTAGGTATCTCTCTCGGTATTCTTATTAATCAATAAAAAAATCTTTGAGTTCTCATTTTATAACTAAAGTATCATAGAGTATAAGTAAGCCATATACTTTTATGAATATAAAAAACTTAAAAGAGGTGAATTCTGAATCTTGAATTTTGTTCTTCATGAAAGGAATATACTTAAAAATCATTAAATTTTATTATAATTTATTGTCAAAATCAAAATCGTAACAAGTTCTTCTGCATGGGTTTTAAAGTATTAACTAGATCTCGTCATCCAGTTTTAGTGATTTTCTTTCCGTTGATCAAATGGGAGATTTTTTCGTTTTCAATTTTTTTACTGCTTTTACGGATATTAACTTCCCACGTACCCTCAAACATTCGAATAAATTTCCAAAAGGCCCCATGCAGAAACCCCTCCAAACCTCTTCCCATCCCCATCACATGAAGGCTATTTTCGTCATTTCAAAATATCCCCATTTCTCTCTGAAGACCAATAGAGAGTGGCGGAGACACACAGATCAAAGGAGGAAAGACAAAAGAAAAAAGAAAGCTAAAAACGGCCCAGTGATTGGAGCCATCGAAAAATCTGATCCGTCCATTTTACGAATTCAACGGTTATCATCACTCGGCAAATTCGTTTCCATTTTCCAATTAATTTTTTTTCCCTTACTCTCTAGTCTTTTAGCATACTCTGTTCAGTGGTTTTTTTATCACATCATCATAAACCCTAGCCTCCAATCCGTCTTTTACCCTATTATCTGTCTCTCTTCTTTCTTTACCTACAACGAGATTTACGTGAAACACCATAACTCTGTTTTATCCCGATCTTCTCTCTCTTTAATTTCCAGAGAGAGACCCATCTTTAAAAAAAAAATTGATTTTCTCTTTCTGTTCGTACAGAACAGAGATCTTGGGTTTTTGGTGATGAAAGTTTGGAGTTGCTCGATCTTTGGTTGTATGATGTTGTCTTATTTTTCCTCTTCTTGTTTACTTACCACTTCGGAATAGTTATCGTTACTGGTTTCCATTTTCTGTTAAAAAAGCTTTTCTGTAGATGAGTCAGAACGGTTTCAGTTTTACCGAGTTGTAGTTTTTTTTTTTTTGGTTTAAACTCGTTCTAGATCCGCTTCTTAAGTGGAGTTTCATCCGTTGGTACTGTATTTGTTAACGTTCTGTTGGGTTCACGGGCTGGTTTGTTGAGCGGGATCTTGGGTTTGGTGTTTTCCTTTTGGCTTTTGGTTTCGACAGAGTCAACTCGGCTGTTCGTCTGTTTTCGACTGAGTTAACTTGGTGCGAAAGTAACTGAGTCAACTCGGGATTTGTTGGTAGGAAAGATCGAGCGAGGAGCTAGGTATAAGCAAAAGAAGAACCGAACGGCGATGCCTTCGGTGGGGATGAGGCGGACCACAAGGGTTTTCGGAATGGTGAAGAGCTCGGAGGCCCGGGTTCTTCGTTCCGGGCGGCGACTCTGGCCCGATTCTGGTGAAGTAAAGTCCAAGAAGCCCAATAATGATGGTGATGAATACTACCACTCGATGAAAAAAACCCCAAAGAGTGAAGCAAATAAGGTTGTTGCTGAGGTAATTGGGAAGCCCAAAAGATTAGGCCACGAAGAGAATCCAAAGAAACTAGCCAGGAAAGTGGCTGAAGCTGAAAATGATGGTGGTAGTGTAGATAGGATGTTTGGGATTGTTTATACTAGAAAACGGAAGAGAAATGGGGTTCAGAAGAGCCAACTTTCGGGGAATTCGAAGCAGAAAAAGTTTGGGAAAAGGATTAACAGAAGTCAGGCCAGTAAGAGGAGGAAGACCAACAGGGATGTGGAAGAGTCAAGAATGTTTGCTTTTGTTGTGAGAAATGGAGATTGTTATGGCTGGTTTTCTAGTTTTTTGTGCTTGGTTTTGGGTTATGTGAAAAGGGCAGAAGTAAGATTGTCTGAGCTTGCTGCCTTTTTGATGTCTCAGCCAATATCTGGTGTTTACTCTTCAAATGGTGTTAATTTATCGTGGGTAAGTATTTTTATCCTTTTGGTAACGTTGTAGCACTTTGTCACTGCAAAGCAGGTCACTTTCTCTTTTTTTTTTTGCCTTAAGTAAAAGTGATCAGAGTTTGTAAATTTTGTAGGAGAATTACTTAGTTTTATGGAAACAAAGTAAAGTTTCTTTCTTTATTTTTTTTGTTCTTTCATTGTTGGTGTAAAGAATGCCTCCTTAGCTGCTGCATTTGAACAGTTCATTTATTGGTTTTCTTATTAAAATTTCCTTCAGGGACCTCCTGCAAATAGAACTGGAATTTGCAAGTTTTATGAGGCTAGGGAGTTTAGTCCGATGTTTTATGTGGATTTTTCTGCAGTTCCCCATTGGTTTATGCATATGCATCACAGTACGCATCTTAGATTGAAGTGTATGCAATTAGTTCCTGTAAATAGTGATGAAATAATGAGCGACAGTGAAGACGACGAACCATGTGTAACCTCTGTTGTAGATGTATCCAAGAGTACGAGTGGTTCTACTGTGGTTAAGATTGACAATCTTGGGAGCAAAGTTGTTTTGCATCCATCTGTTAGGGCTTCCAAACTAACAGTTCGAAATGCTCAATATAGAAATGGTTTGAGTTCTCGCAGTATCCAGAAGAGGAGGAGTTCGCTGAGGAGGAGGACAGCTAGAAATCCTTCACTTGCTGGCATGCACAAGGCTAATGGAGCCCTAATGTCTGACTTGATCAGTAGTAGGAGAAATGGCATTCCTTTTTCTTCTGTAGTTTCTAAAAACAAGCTTAGGAGTTCAGTCCGAAATAGTTCAGCAAACTTAAGTGATGTTAGCTGTTCCATTTCAGATATAATGCAGAATATAGATTCATCGCAATGCTCTGCCAATATATTGGTCATTGAATCAGACAGATGTTACAGGGAAGAAGGAGCGATTGTCACTTTAGAGCACTCTGTATCAGGAGAATGGCTTCTTGTGGTAAAAAAAGATAGTTCAACTAAGTATGCCCACAAGGCAGATAAATTTATGAGGCCCAGTTCTAGCAACCGTTTCACTCATGCTATAATTTGGACTGGGGATGATAATTGGAAGCTTGAGTTTGCAAGTCGGCAGGACTGGGTCATTTTCAAGGATCTTTACAAGGAATGTTCTCAGCGCAATGTGCCTGCTTCAACTGTTAAGGTGATCCCTGTTCCTGGGGTTCGGGAAGTTTCAGGCTATGAGGCTAGGGGCAGTGTACTGTTTCGTAGACCAAATTTGTATATCTCTTTTGACGGTGATGAGGTATCTAGAGCCTTGACAAAGAGGACTGCAAATTATGACATGGACTCAGAAGATGAGGAATGGTTAAAGAAGTTCAATAATGAGTTTTTTTCTGGAAGTGGGCATTGTGAGCATCTTTCACAGGATTGTTTTGAGTTGATAGTTGATGCTTTTGAGAAGGCCTATTTCTGCCATCCAGATAATGAGAATGTTACTACCCATCTCTGTCTTGATCTGGCTAGTGGAGAAGTGACTGAAGCTGTTCATGCTTACTGGTTGAAAAAAAGGGAGCAGAGAGGATCAGCACTGCTTAGAGTTTTCCAGGTAAAACTAGCATTACAACTTAGATGTATCATTTCATCTTTGCAATATTTCCTTTCAGTTTTTTCTGGTGTACTGTTCCCTTGTAGGAATTCTCACACTTTATGTAAATGGATAGTGCTTCAAAAATTCTTTATGGAAATAGATTTTGTTGTAGAGTCATTTGGGTAACTAAACTCACTTTATTGTATTATAATATCATTGTACGCCATTATTTTTTGATAAGAAAATTTTTTTTGTGTCCCAGTGTAATTTTACCTTGAAATTTTGAATGAAGTTAAAACGTGGAAGGATAGACACCTTTAGAACAGCTTTTTACTCCTACCTTATTGGGTTCCTCCATTTTTTTGTCATGCAATGAGTTCATATGATTGTATTTCCAAGGTCGAATGATCTTTTCCTATAGCAGTTGCATCAATTGGTTGCAATTAATTTACATATCCAGGGTGATCGGATGCTACACTTGAGTCAAGATATGCAAGCCAGATAGTTTACAACGATTATGTTCATATATATATATATGTGTATAATTTACAGCAAAATTAACAGGGTGTGAAGCCAACTTTTTGAACTTTTTCCTCCTTTTTCCCAATTGAAGTTGAATTACTTAGAGGCCTAAAATTTTGAATAAACCATCTTGCAAATGGAATTAATACAAAGCACAAAAGTGTTCTTGCTGTGAACTTTCTTTTATGTTCTGTTCTTTAAATTAATTCTTTGAGAATTTGGAACTTTGTTTTCTGCTGCCATGAGAGATGCTGGTATCATAGGTGCCAAGAGATTGAAAAACAAGTATTGTGTATTTGTGATAACTGGTCATGTTATATTCCTTTGTCATCCTAAGGCATATGTTGAAATTCCAAATGTTTATCACTGCCATCATTGCAGTTCAGTCTCCTAGTTCTTCTTTCTGGTGTTTTGCGGTGCATGTAGACCAATCTAAGCAACTGCTAACATTGTATATACTTAACTCTTATAGATAACTGACCAAAATGAATGTTCCACTCTAACAGGGTCATCAGGTCAAGAAAGCTCCACTAGTTCCAAAGTCCTTTCTACGTAAGAGGAGGTCATTTAAACGTCAGGCTAGTCATGGAAGAGGCAAGCAACCAAGTTTGTTGCAAGGTAGGTTAAATTCTCTGATTATAGTAGCCATGCTCAACTGTACAGGTTTTGAGTATGATTTTGATATGATTATGTTTCTCATGCCTTTGATGATGTATATGGATAATAAATTTCAAGTTTCTGTTGGGTGATGGGTTAGGAGGCAGTAGCGGTGATGCATAAATTTGTCTATTCATTAAAATTGCAGCTTTGCTAATAAATTTGATGGATTTATCCTTCTTTGTCAATGTTTGTCCTAGGACCTTGTTTTTTTCTTTCCTTTTCCCTTATTTGAACATTTCATATTTTGTCTGCTTGTTGGTGTTCATATTTCTTTGGTACTGGTTTTGTGTTAGGACCCTGTTTCAGATTTGTTGCTAAAACTTGCATCACTTGTAATTGTGCAGCATTGGCAGCTGAACATGATTTGTTGCCAGAAAAGAATGCCATGGTCAAAGTTGAAGAAGCTAGGGTCTCAGCAGCCAGATCTGTTGAATCAGCTATCGTCAAACGCCAGCGGGCTCAGTTACTAACGCAAAATGCTGACATGATTACATACAAAGCCTTGATGGCACTCAGAATTGCTGAAGCTGCCCGATGTACTGAATCTTCAGAGGGTGCGGTTGCTCAATTTTTTGATTGATGACATGTCGGTACTCAGCTAAATGGGATAGTAGCCGGAATCTGTTATTTGTTTCCTGGGGAATAACAGCCTCAGGGCAGTTGTTGAAGCCCACGGAGGACGACCTTGGAAAAGAGTACTGTAATATTGTTGTATAGCTTTAAGTTGATTGTACATTCTGTGTTATTGTAACTTCATACCAAAATTTTTTTGCCAGGTATTTGTTAGAGAAATCTGAAAAGAAGAAAATTACAGGAAATTTTGAGCCCATGGTTAAAGGTCTGGCCTTTGACATATTTGGATCAAGAGATTGAAATGCGCAAATTAATGGTATATCTTTTCTTCATTTGATGACTTTTTTTAATTTTTATATTTTACGGATTGAAAGCAAACGGATTTTTTTTTTTTTCAACTTTCTTCAACAATCTCACACAAAAATAATTTAGATTCGAAGAACTCAAACTAGAAAATCTTGGACCATCAACTGAAGAATTTGTTCACTTCTTATTAAAACAATTCTGAAGGTAAAGGATGGTGCGTTTCTGTGTTTTAAGAATCAAACTATTTTGGAAAGTTTATTTATTTATTTATTTATTTTTTAATGTTGGGCACCAAGATGGATCATTGTGGGAATAGGAAAGTGAGAGAAGTACGAAAGAGGTTAACTGGGCCAAGCTTTTCTCCAGCAGGCCCACATAAAGTCCAAGCCCTAAAAAAATTTCTATCTTCCAACAGCCCCGCCCTTATAAAACCCCAAAACCCTAGATTATTCCCTCTTCCTCTCTTCACTGTCCTCAAACAACCTCTCGACGCAGCTGCCATTACTTTTTTCAGCTAAGGTAAACGTCCTTTTCTGTTTAGATCTCCAAACTTCCTCTTTGCATCTGACTGAATGTTTGTTATTGATCTTGTATTCTTTGTCCAAAAATGAAACTGAAATGTTTTGTTTTGGGCTTCTCGGCAAGTTAAGAATCCGTTTTTTCCTACGTTCCAATATAGGTTCCCCTAACCTGTTTCCTCTGCTTGCCTATATGTTAGCCTAGAAAAAAAGTTAGGTTTTGGTTGAAACCGAATTCTTCGTTTTCTATGTTTCTATTTGAATAAAATATTGGGGCGTAGGGATACTGTTATTATCATTTGAAATTGGTGGTTTCTAGAAGCTAATGCTAGTAACTTGGAAGAATGATATGTTTTTTTATATGATTTTTGAGTTGAAAGGCTTAATTTTTACTTCAAAAAAAAAATCGATGAAGGCTTAATTGTTGCTTATTTGATGTAAAATAAGCAGCAGCTTGCATTTGGAAGGATGGTGAGGGTCAGCGTTTTGAATGACGCACTCAAGAGCATGTACAATGCAGAGAAGAGGGGCAAACGACAGGTTATGATTAGGCCTTCCTCAAAAGTGATTATCAAGTTTCTTTTGGTCATGCAGAAGCATGGTTTGTTTTTGTATAATCTCTACTTTTTTTTTTCATTCTAGTGTTAATCTGATCTATGGTAATATGAAGATGCTGATATGTTAACTTTTCCATTGGCATTGCAGGTTATATTGGAGAGTTTGAGTATGTTGATGATCACAGAGCTGGTAAAATTGTGGTTGAACTGAACGGAAGGCTGAACAAGTGCGGGGTGATCAGTCCTCGTTTTGATGTAGGAGTCAAGGAGATTGAGGGTTGGACTGCTAGGTTACTTCCTTCAAGACAGGTTAGCTTAGAAACTTCCTGGTATTCTAATCGCTGTGCATGACATTTTTGTAAGATATATATGTTTTTTATGGAAATGTTTTCATAGGAACAACTAGTAGTAGTAGTAGTATTTTCTAAGATTAAGAAATTTTTGTCAGAAAAAAGAAACGAAATACATTCGAAGGTCAGAACAAACTTTGATTTATGGATCATTATTTGGTCTTTTTGGTGAGTGGCATGTCTTGTTTTAATTTTCATAGTACATTAGATAACATTATGTGGTTGAATAGGGTTTGGTCAATTGAAATGAGAGTTCTATTTTATGGGCTTTATGCGTTTTATCATTGCAGTTTGGTTACATTGTGCTCACCACATCAGCTGGAATCATGGACCATGAAGAAGCCAGAAGAAAGAATGTTGGTGGAAAAGTACTTGGTTTCTTCTATTGAGACAAATTTATCACAATTTTCATTTTTGATATCTCTTTTGTAGAACTTGGTAGTTATCCTCTATAAGTGTTGGTAGAATTCTTATTTTGTATTTTGCCAATTATACTTTATGTTTTGTTTATGATGTTTGAGATTATGAATTGTTGGGTTTTCCATCGATAATAGTTTACCTTTGTCATCAAACAGGTGAAAGAGTTTTGCTATTTGAAATGTCAGCTAATTAATTTCTATTGCCTGCTCTTTCACAAAGCTTTTATTTTGGATGAACTTAGATGTTTAGCTTGGTTTGTGATTGTTATGTTTGAAAAAATAGCATGCTGGAGAGTTTGAGAATCAAATCCATTCTTGGGAGCATTATTATTTATTACTAAGATGAACTCCGAAGCCATAGGTTGATTATAACACTTTTATGGTGAATACCTTATGGGTGAGGCTTGAGTTTCTCCTAGTGCGACGTTTTAGGCTCCATTTGGTTGGATCTTGATGCCTTCATTTTCCTTATTTAGAAAGAAGAGGTTCATAAAAAGGTTCAAATTTTCTTTATGAAATGCAAGGTTCTTGATTGAGTCAAAGCATGTAGTTCATTTTAAACATCACATTGGTTTTTTTTTTTACTTTTGCAGCCAGCTGTAGCATGTAGTTTATGATGGAATGAAAAACACATTTCCGACTGTATGTGTTTGAGTTTCTTCACAAAGTCTTTAGTGGGGATATATATACAATCAAAAGGGTGTGTACCAAAAAAAGAAAAGTATTCCAAATACAGCAAATATCGCCAATCTAGAGATTCAAAGACTACATAATCACTTTCTTTATTGATGCCATAACATTTAGCACAATTAGAGTTGAAAAAATTTAGCAATGGATGTTGGTTCAAATCTTAAAGAGAATGTGTTCCTTTTTTTATTGTCTGGGTTCGAATTCATTTAGAGATTGTATAAAAATAATTTTTCATAAATTTGTTAAGTTCGATGTAGATAAATTTGTCTGAATCGGTTCAAGTAAAGTTGTATTGGGTAAAGTTTAAAGACTCTTTTTAGTTAAATAAAACAAATTCATCAAAACCCTACTTCAAAAAAAAAAATCGTCCAAACAAGGATTGAGGTTGGAGATTTGTTTGCAATCGGTGATATATAGTAATAAAGAGGTAAGGGTAATATTTGGTGTATAGGATAATAAATAAGATAAAATGATAATTATTTTATATTATGTGTGATTTATATTTAAAAAAATAAATAAGATTATAAGGAAAATTAATCATCTTTGATCAAGGAAGATTAATTATCCTTTTGATCAAAGATGATTCAATCCTTCCAAAATGGAGATGATTATTTTTAATTTATATGATTGAACTTACATGTTTTATTATAATCTTAAAAATTAGATCAATAATTTAAATTATATAAAATTTGAGGAAAGATAATTTTGTTTAATAAATTATTTTATCTTAATCCTTATACATATCAAATATAAGATAGGATGATATTATTTAATCTAATCTTATTTATAATCATCTTATCATAATTTTATCTACCAAACACATCTTAAGTTTATATAATTATATTGGAAACGAGGTAGTATTTACATTAAAAAAGTGAGGTAATTTGTGTGTGTATATGTACTTAAAAATATTTTTATATAATTAGCCTTTATATATGTTTAATAAATTTTATGAAGGTAGAAAAATATAAATTTGTTAAGGGATAAAGAGATCTATTTACATTAGTTACAGAGTTAATTAGTTAATATATGATATTAAAAAATTTTTAAGATGGTTATCAGATGAAAAACAATTTTTTAACTTTTAATGTTAAATATATATTTAAAAAATTAACAGTGCAACGAATAAGTTAAAAAACTTAGTTATAACCTATAAGAGATTATTATAAGATGATATAAGATTTTTTATTAATCTAAATTAATATTTAATATATTTTTAAACAATTACTTTAGGAGGTTAATGAGGTGATAATACAATCTTAACTATATTAGTACTATATAGAATTGTTGAAATTGAATCAAATTTGAACTTGATCTAATTCAATTTGATTTAAAAAATTAGTAACTTAAACTTGCCTAACTCATACATGAAAGGAATCAAATTTTAATTCAAAATATTCAAATTCAAATAACAAGGGTGGGAGTCTGGTTTCGCTCGGATTCTTTTAAGTTCTTTTTGATTTGTAACACAAAATTTTTGAGGAGATAATAATAAAAAAAAACTTGTAGTTAGTTTGGGTAAAATTATTGAAAGATATAGTTTGTATTCTTTTGTATTATACAAAGTAGAACGATATGAGATTGTAATGAAATAAAATTGAATTAAGTGATAGATAAAATAGAGAAAGCAATGTAAAAATTGCTAAGAAACAAAAGTATGAATCAAAAAAATAGTTCATGCATGTGATGTTTACAGTGAGTGCAATGAAATATAGTGCATCAACACATCCAATGAATTTATAGTGCAATGAAACAAAGTAAGTTAATATCAAACAATCAAATTTAGCATTAATAGAAAAAAAATTATTTTGGCAGGACTACAATACAACAATGTTTGAGCTAAATCAAAATAAGAACATGTAGATAGTTTTTGTTATCCTCATATAGAGAAAAAAGTGAAAAATAAATTCATCACTCACATATGTCAACCAAGGAAAAAAATCAATAACCAACAGACAAATTAAAACTTACCATCAAATCCTGTGCAGCCATCCTCATGTGCACCAAGTGCATCAACAATGCTTTCAGGACACAGATTAAAGACATTGACATCCATGCCTGAACCTGAAACAACTTCGGAATAGCTCGTCGAACTATCAAACACTAATTGTTACATCTTTATTTTCGTTATTTGAGCAATTGAAGCATTAACAATAATAGACATAAGAGTATTCTTGAATTGGACATATGAGGCACTTTGTTTTTAGTTGTTACTCTAATAGATAAGGTACACTTAAGACAATATAGTGATGGTTGGCTACACTGTATTTGGTGTTCTATTCAAATAACTAGTAGCAGAAGAGAAAAGTGAGTTTTTGGTAAGGTTTCATTAGCTATCAGGTTTTGTTGTTGGAATATGCTGTTGGACCATATCGTGAAAAACTCTTAAACGTCTCCAAGCTAAGATTCCATGAGATGAAACCATGGAGTTCAACTTAAAACCATGAGAAAAAACCATTGAGTTGTGACGTAAACAATCTTTTAACAAGTATTTCTTGAAACTTGCTTTCCATTTATCAAATCAAATTAGCTTGTAGGTAAGAAACACATCTTATTTAAACAAAAAATAATACTAAATGCAATAAGAATTACTTTGTTCTTAGTATTTCTAATTTGAGTAACACATTTTTCTAGTTAAAGAAGAAACTTAGATATGCCTAATGAATTTTATATTATTATAATGGAGCATTTTCGTTATCCTAAAACATTTCCATCTAATATTTGCCACACTTCATAATAAAACTAAAAAGCTTCAAGATAGGAAAATTCTGTTAATATCCTTCATTCTAATTGCCATTTTTCCCATCATGTAAAACTATCCAAGTTACATTATATGGCATCCATAGATATTTTAACATGGAGTTCAAAATATGATTCAACAATTTTATTGAAACCTCATTCCTATGTCTAAAACCACTTTAACTTTTAATGCAATTTTAATGAAATTGCCTATCTAAAAAATGTTAATATGCACCAACCAAATTGTCATCTTTGAAAATTACAAATTCAACTCGTATAAAAACAAACAATAAATGGACAAACATATGTTAATTCATTACTACAATTTTTACAAGTAGCATAAACTGTCTATACTCTATTAGGGCTAAACAGAACTGCATTATATAGACAGAGATATTCATTAGTACCAAAACTAACATGCAATTCCAACAAAAATATAATCGAAACAAAGATCACAAAAACAATATTTAATGAAACAAAATCTCATTCAGACTATTATCCTAAAGATCTAAGCAAAATAGAAGACCAAACTTTTCACTCACCTTGAACCTAATCAAGAAAAAATCTTCAACAACTCTTGAAAAAAAAAACAAAACAATTTAAACCATCATTTGTAGAACCTAATCTTAAACAACATGACCTTTAAACCATTTCAAACCAAAATAAAGCAACATGCAAACCTTAAAACACTAACAATAAATCAAACATAGACATAACTAAAAAAAAAAGTACAAAAATTGGAAATGCATAAACTTAAACTGAATTAACATACAACTTAAAAAAAAAGACAACTCAAACTAATATCATCGAATTACATGCAATAAAACAAAATCCCATTCAACTAAAAGATAGAGAAAGACAATTAGACAAAAAAAAACTATCCATTGACTTTCAACTTAATTATGGAACAACATTGAACAACTCTTGAAAAAAAACTAATCAAATAAAGAACACAAAGTAATTTGTAAAAAAATCCCATTGCAATCATTATCCATGCAATCCAATCTCAAATAATACTACCTATACATAATTTTAAATGAAAATAAAACAACATGCAAATCTTAAAATAAATAATTTAAACAAATTAAAGACAAAAAAAAAAACATAACATTGGAAAAAATATTTTTAATAAGAAACAAAAGAATAGAAAAACATAAAATCCCAAATCCCATTCAATAATTTAGTTTCATAAAATCAAATTCAACTTTATCAAACCAAAACCATTTTAAGCAAAATAAAAAAAATGAAACCCACACTCAATTCAACAACCAAAAAAAGCAAACACTTTTAATGCAAAGCAAAAACATGAAAAAAAATATAAACCTGAAAAAGAAAGAGAAGAACATAGACCTACAAACAGAATTCACATCATTTTTCTATATTTTGCACCACCCTTTCATTCTTTGAAATGAGCCTTAATGCTACTAATCATGAAGACCAAAAAATATATAAAAAGCATTGAACACCTAAACAAAAATACAATAAAAACTCAACATAGTTAAACTAAAAAATCAACCTTAAAATCATAAAAGAAATAAAAAATTAAAAACTACCATCATTTGCACTGAAACAATTCTATCAAATGAAGAATAATCAGAAAATGTAAGCAAACGAAAAATTAGCTCCAAAAATAATCAAATATTGAACAAATAGTTTAAACAAAATGCATGCAAAGAAATAGAAGAAAAAATGCAATAAAAAAATTGATTATAACTGCAAACAAAAACTCTAAAATATTAGAAGAAAAGCACATAAAATTAAGAAAGAATT